TCGTTTCCCTACCCAGAACCCTCCATGGCTTCCTGTGGACCAGGAGACAAAGTCCAAACCCCCCAAGTTGTCCCCTTGGCTCCCAAGGGCAAAGCCGCAGGGGCACGTGGATGGCCACGAGCCGTGAGGAGAGGGCGGGGATGATGTTCCTGCTGTGTAGGGTACAGCTGGGCCTCTTCCCAGTCATGAGACGTCCTCCCTGAGGCCATCCATCAGCTGCGAGAGCCCAGCTCAGATGCTTTGTGCCGTTTCCCATAGATCTCTTCACCAGAGGAGACTTCAGTAATGCTCACACTTAGGGAATGCCCTATTGTTCCTTTTATGTGTCCCTTTGTGGCATACGCATTACAAAGTTTAAAAGGTCAGTTTAAAAGCATGTTCTTGCCTTTGAGTAAAAACTATTATGAAAAACAATGACAAAAAGATAAATCAAGGATTCAAAACACTTTTTAAAAATGCGATTGTGCATATAACCTGGAGGCATGTGTCAAAGTGCGCATCTAATAAATCCTCGTGAGCCAGGCTGTAAACACGCGCTTGCCTACTGGGTCTGAGGTCTCCACCTCACAGCCAAGCTCCTCTTCGTGCCCCCAAGGGAGGGGCAAGGGCCAGGGCATCGCAGGTGTCGGGGGCTACGTAGGGCCAGGACTCAATCCCTGGATAACTGGGTCTTGGGTGGGTAGAAAGAGCCACTCAGAGACCAGAGTTCTTGCCTCTGATCCCCCGACTCTGAGTGACCCCGGGCAAGTCACCTACCTCTGTGGGTATCAGGTGCCCCATCTGTACCTTGGGGAAAGCCTGAGCAAGACCACTCGCTGTGGAACATGACCAGGTACAGGGGCTCTGAGAGGACTGACGTGCCTGGGTCACGTTATTCTTGAAGATGCTCAACTGCTTACGCACCCAACACTTAGAATAGTTCACCAGCTCTTAGCATTAAAATCAGACAAGGAGATGCTCCTTCCTCTGTGTTTGGTACTGGATACTTGGCTAAATTAGTTATGATTACAAAAGAAAGATATTCCATGAGAAGAAAGATATTGATCACTTACTATACATTCTATTTGATGGAAACACTGAAGCCAGTGTGAACTGACCCCACGCATACAGCGCAAGAATCCAGAACATAAGAAATTTACATAAAATTCTCCCGAGCCAGTGATATGCCAGCACACCTTAACTCAAGCCATGTAAAATTATCTGGAGGGGCACTTCTACAGAGCAGGTCACACAAGATTCCCCGGGGGAGGGAGAGTTGTTTTTTTTTTTTTTTTTAAGTCCCACTGAAAATATGCTCAAAACAAAAAACTGTTAAATATGTGAGAAAACGATCCACCATAAGTGAAAGCCAACTGACACAGCAAGTAGGATTCCTAAGAACTTGAGATAATAGAACAGCAATCTAAAAGAGGCTGTAATTAGAGAGAGTAGGGGAACTTTTTAAAAAAGGAATGGAAATCATGCGAAAAGAAATAGACACTCTGAGAAAAGAATGGGCAACTCTGAAAAGCAAATACAGTCACGGAAATAAGAAAACTCTGGGGCATATAATGATGGTGATGGAAAATAGCATATTAAATACATATTTTTTAAATCCACGAGTCTGCTACTAGAGGAGGAAGGAGGGCAGGGATAGATAACAGAAAGCTCTTCTCTGTAAAACACTGTCAACTAATAAACGGAAAAGGAATGATAAAACGACAAAAGTTAGAAACTCGCGATTTTATAAATTCCTAATATGGGAAAAGATCACCAACAGGTGTTCAAACCATGGGCTAAGAGGTTTCTGAGGCACAGGATATTCATATGGTCTGAAAG